AAGAACACTCTGGAGTGCTGCTTCTCCAAATTAGCCATGGAAAGCCCTGTGGCACACAGGAGGCTGTTGTTTGCATCTGGAAGATGAGTCTGGTAGGTTGGAAGGCACTCAGAGACACAGTTGCTACAACGATGGACTTGCATATACCAAAGATCATGAAGATGGATGCAGGACTAGACAATGCTTTGTTTTGTTCTACATGGAGTTGCCATAAATTTGAGCTGACTCGATGGCAGCTAACAACTGTTTGGGAAGGAGGGAAAGGCCCAGAAAAGAATAGAATGAAGAGAACGGTTTGCAAGCTTGGACTTAGTTATGTTATCAACTCAACGGCCTTTAAAAACAAAAGGGCCAGGTTAATCTTTCTTGGGCCAAATATTCCTACTAAGTCAAGGTCAGACAGATCGGTTGTCTAAACCACAAGGGTAAAATACTGTATGTGCATCTCAATTTCACTTGCTAAGAGAGTGCACGATTGGGGACTAAATAGTTGAGAAGGGACTTGGTGAAATAAATCTACATGTAAACTGTACAGTGACCCTTCTGGTACCTAGAGTACTGGTGCCAGAGCTTCGAGCATTGTCACCACAGTGCTACCAAACTGATAAACAGGGCTCGCTCACGGTGGGTGGGTTTCAATGGAGCTTTCATATGGACAGACTCAAAAGAATGACCTAGCAGGCTATGTTAAAAAATAGGTTAGCCAGTGAAAACTTGGAAATGAACTGAAAATGGATCTGAACAGAATACTGTCTAATAGAGTGCTGGAAGATGAGCCCCTAGTTGGGAAAGAATTGCCAAATAGAGGCAATCATGGATTCACATATCCCAATAATCATAATGCTTTCATAAGAACAGGCAACATTTTCTTCTTCTGGATGACAATCAACAACTACCCTGTTTCCCTGAAAGTAAGACATCCCCTGAAAATAAGACCTACTTATAGTTTTGCCTCTCAGTGAAATATAAGGCATCCCCCCGAAAATAAGGCCCCCAAAGCTATCTTAACTCTGGACTCTGGACTGTAGCAGCAGGCGCCGCCGCACAGCTCACTGTTGGCTGCAATGCAGCCGGAGCAGACAGGAAGTGCGAGGGCTCTTTTAATAAAACAATAAATAATAATTGTGTACCGTATTCTTCTTCATGGAAATATAAGATATCCCCTGAAAATAAGACCTAGTGCATCTTTGGGAACAAAAATTAATATGACACAGTCTTATTTTCAAGGAAACGGGGTAATAACAAACTTTATAGACTGAGAGACTATCATGCTGTGGGAACACTGAGTGCTCCATGCACCACCCTACCCCCCTGGACTATTTCCTGAGTTTTAATTGAATCTAAGAAACTAAAGCTTAATTTGCAGTAGATGATATATCTATATTGTTTTTAATTCAACAGGAGGGGAGACGAGTGAAGTGTACTTTGCAAATCTAAACTCACAGCCATCGTTTTGATTCCAACTCATAGTGACCCTATAGGGCAAGAAAGAACTGCCTACTGTGTTTCTGAGACTTTAAATCTTGATAGGCTTAGACAGCTTCATTTATCTCCTACAGAAAAGCTGGTGGGTTCGAACTACTGACCTTGTGGTTAGAACTGGGTACGTAGACCACTATGTCACCAGAGCTCCTATGCTTAGCAGATAAGGATGTGAAAAGCCTTCTCAAATAGCAGTGTGGTGTTTTGATTCTTATGGATTAGATAAATAGAGGTTTAAATACTAGCTGGTACTAAATGAAATGTTTGTGAAATTAAGCTTGCATCCTTTGTTATAAGAGACTGACAGGTATGCCGAGGAGAAACAAGATGGAAGCTCTACCAAAGTAACCAGTTTTCTCAATAGCCTTGTGAATTAAGGAGACAAAGTAAAAGAGTTTTGATTCAGTGGAGGATGAACAGAGTCCAAGTCAGATTGCAGGAGTGTGACTGGCAAGTGGTGTGTGCAAGCTGCGGGCCAGTATTGTACGGACCTAGGAGCTCCGGGCTCTTTCTATAAGTGAGTCTCAGGCATTAAGAGAGTGCAGCCCCAGGAGTATGCATGATTGCCTATTAGCTTATTAAATCAACCTGAACAGCCCAATGATGCAGAAAATAGGTTCCCCCCTGTGTAGAGCCCTTTGTGAACTTGACCCATGGCCTCTAGCAATCAAAATGCAACAATATCAGAATCAACAATTACTGGTATTAAAACAAAATTTTAAATTGGACTTTTTCTTTCCCTTCACAGAGGAGTAGCTATTTCATCCATAGGTAGTCCATAGAGTAATTGGTGGACTGTACAACCAGTAATTACAAAACCAACCCCCGCAAAACCTATTACATTAAAAATTCAAGGTGCATACAATGTTTGCAATAGCAAATAGGCACTACACTACTTTTTGACTTGCATCAAGACAGTATTATCATCACTGTATCATTGTGTTAAAGATGTTATGGTATATCTGGAAGTCTTCCTTTAATGTTTTTTTATTATATACTATATACTGCCATTGAATCAATCCTGACTCTGTGACCCTATAGGACAGGGTAGAACTGCCCCTTGTGGGCTTCTGAGATTGTAATTCTTTTCAAAAGGAGAAAGATGAAGATGGTGGTTTTGAATTGCTGGCTTGGTGGTTAGCAACCCAACCCGTAACCACTACTCCATCAAAAGATGACAGCCAGAATATTCCTTAGAAGCAAGGATGGAGAGACGTGTCTCATGAGCTTGGTAAAGTCCAGGGCAGCAGGAAGGAGGCAGGCCATTGACGAGATGGACTCACACAATGGCTGCAAACGCAGGCTCGAACACAAGAACGCTGTGAGGAGGGTGCAGGACCGGGCCGTGTTTCCTTCATTCAATTAATGGACAGTAGCCTGCTCCCGTTTATGTACAAATTTGACGTCAAGTTAGATTTAGGGACCAAACTTACTCAAAATGTGGGATTTGGTTGTATTTCAATGAACCAAAATGTTGTTTGCCTTAAAAAAAAATGGTGCTCCTTCTGTGACAGCTATCTCCTTGGGTTTCTCACGAAGTAAGGAGTAAGAGCAGATGAAGGGGGAGGAAAACAGTAAAGTTCAAAGAGGGAAATTGCTTGCTTACTACCCAGCTATAGCTTGAGGTGATATTTTCATTTAGTTTCTTCTGAATTTTTCTATCTTAAATGTATTATAGGGAATCATATCACACACTTACCAGTTCCATCATTTTATGTGCACACTGCCTAACACGAAGTACGCTCACTGTGTCGCAGAACCATCTCCCTTTTTCCATATGCGTTCATCACCCTCCATAGGACATCCATCAATGCCTGTTTTTAAATGTGTTACTGTGTTCTCTGGCATTATATATTTCAAAATGTTAATTGAATATTTTCTAAACAGCATTTTTCATGTCATCCTTTTATTGTTTCTGGTAAACATCAAAGGGGTGCATGATGTTTTCATTGCCCCACGATAGACAGATGGTTAAGCAGGTTAGTTCTCATTTTAGACTCTTTGAAGTGAGAATTCTGTGAATGTCATTGTGCCTGTGTTAGTCTGGGGAGACCAGAGAAACAAATCCACGGAAACTCATACGTATATAAGAGACAGCTTTATATAAAGGTTAAGTGTACATTAATAAAGCATCCCAACCTAGTGCTGTCCAAGCCCACAAGTCGAATATTAGTCCAGATGTCCAACACCAATCTACAAAGTCCTCCTCAGTCTCACAACACACACACACACACACACACACACACACACACACACACACACAGATGCTGACTGCAGGAGGAAAACCGAATCAGTGAGCATGTCAGCATCTCAGGGCTGGCAGGGGTCTCCACACAGCTGCTCCAGCACCCAGGGCTG